CTTCGGATATAACCCACCTCGACAATGTGTGCCACCTCGGCAGGAATGCCACGTGGATCAGGATGAGTGGGCCATTGGCCTAGGTGGGTAGGACAGGTGTGACAATACGCAACAGTCACCATTGCTATTGTAATCTGAATCCAATGGCAGGAATTCCTTTTGGTGATGCATTCTTAACTAGCAATATTTTTCATTCTAGCATAATTTTACCTTTGTTATTTAGCATATGTTTTGCAGAACTTATAATGTGTAAGATTTGAAAGATGAATAATATATATATTATGGGATGTCTTTAGCTTTTCATGTTTCATATTTTCATTGTCCACCAAATAATAGCATTCCGAACTTGTAAATATTTCCCAATACGAGACAGCCACCATCACACGCCCATCCACCTCTGTGATTACTCCATTCTGGTATTGGCTTACTTTTTTATGATTATCTATTGAGGCTAAAACCAGCAAATGACCAATTCGAAAATAGATACATGCCCACAAAAAAGCCACGTGCCATGAAATATATTCAACAAGCTAATTCATGCCCAAAATGTCGATCACTACTTTAACCAAGTAAATGTTCAAGACAAAACTAAAATAAAGTAAGTGCAAACCCAACAACAAAACTAGAGTAACAACTCTTGTTGGGTTCTTCCATTTTTTTTCCATCCTCTCATGACATCACAACCCCAACAACTCAACCTAAAGTAAGTTTGAGTTTGAATATAACTAATAATCATTCCGGCCCCTTTTCTTTTCCATTATCCTCCGAAGGCTCCTTTCCTTTGCGGAATGTCAAGTTCAGTGAAATATTGACGTTTTGTTTCTCAGCAATTCGAGTTAGACGTTCGAACATGCCTGGAAAATCGTTGACTTCCTCATTGGTAAAGGATTCATCACTTCATTAATGACACTCGACTCTGTACTTGATTCTTCCATTGTTACCCAGTCAAAAAATCCACAAGAGTTGCTACAAGTTCTGAATTGTCCACCTTTGTTATTGCCTTCCTTTTCAACCTCGAAACATTTTTGAATTCCGACTACACACCATGGACAACGAACTTTGCTCTTGCAATCTCCAAAGTAGTGATTTGAGCTTCTACAACTGTGTCAAACACTGAAATTCCTCCCTATCATCCCTACATGGCAAACAATATTTAGAGGATTTGGAAATTGAGCAGCTTATACCACCAGATTGCAGTCAAAATCGAATACCCAATGAAAAATATAATGAACAGGTGAGGAAAGCAATAATTAAAAACTTAAGTGGACAATGTCTCTTAACATTTGCTCATTACGAGCACAAATGTTGACTGTAGCATGAAGTAGTGCTGCTTTTATTTCATTTGTTTTTTAGTAGAATTTGAACTCTTTCAACTTTTTTTCTCTTTCTGAAGCTTGTCAAAGTCTTTCATTACAATTTCTTCATGGTTATTGGATGATATGCACTGAAAATTCGACTTTGTACCTTATAGTTCTAGCAATTGAAAGATTATAAGTTAGCATAAATAAGTGAAAATCAAGTTTTTATACACACAATTTACAACATTAAATAAACAAAAAAGTAAATGTCAATAAAATCCAACATTCTCATTACAGAACTGCAAAATGGGGAAAGACTCATATTTTGAATTCCTTGTTATTCTTGTATGCTTTCCGTCTTCTACTCTGAATAACATTAAGACTATAAAAAAACCCAAAACACATATCGTTCAACAAATGTGCAAAGGATGGGTAAGAGATAGGGTTTGAAGACATCGGCCTTTTGCTGGAACGGTTAAACGCTAGCAGCCGGAGAGTTACGATCGCGGCGGCAAAATGGGTAGGAGATAAGGGTTTATGCAAGTGTAAATAGTTATAGAGTTGAAAAGCTTGGGCTTATTCATGGTTTAGTAGAATGAACTTGTCGGAGACATGAATCATAGCTAGCGGCAAAGTCTTGGGATTTCTTTCTCTATTCGGTGGGTTAAATGGGTGGGAGAATGAGTTTTGGGTTAGTGAAAGGGGTAAATGGGATGGGACAATTGGTCTGACTTTTCTAATTTTTTTTTTAAATACTGCCAACTCATTTGGACGTTTTTTGTGAGCCAAAATATGTACACCCAGCAGAATTAAAATAAGAAACATAGTTTTTGTAGTTATGATCCTTACTGATAATAACTTTAAGATACAAATGCAAACATAGTATAGAAATTTTCAACTTTGTCCATTCTAGATCAGATATTTACAGAATTGCCATGAGTATTTAGATGGTATTTATAAGGAAAATCAGTGTCTAAATTTATTATGTGGCTTATGCCACATACGAGGGAAAAACTCTTCAAAATCTTCAGACATATTAATATGACATAAATTATGTCTTCGAGGACAAACATCTAATCAAGCAAAATTATCTTACGAAACGTGGCTTCATTTTTGAGGTGCACGATCGAGACAAATTCTTCAAAGAATCCTGCACCCACAATTCGAGAAGGATTAAATTTCTTTTCTATGCTATGTTTAAACGTTGACTTGTTCTCACGTCCGGTCGATTGAGACATTAAGGACCACCAAAAAATAAGTGGACGTTAGAATTCCAATAGATGAACGGATGGTGAGTTATAAAATGTAACTAATGAAGGTGAGGTTTTTAACCATATACTTGGAGGAGTTTCAGTGTTTGTTCTTATGCCTAAGGCAACTCGTGATATTGTTGCACCATTTTCCTCTTTATAAACTATTTATAAATTTGCCAAACAAAGTCTAAATCTTTAATATAAGCCTTCTAAGCACTTTATTAGAAGATGTACATATCAATTAAATACAATTTGAACTTTCAGTTTTAATCAAGATTGAAATAACAATAACATAGTTTGTGTTGACCTCTAAAAATGGCACTTCCACGTGGCCAACTTGTAGATACTCCACGTATTCCTCCCTATGAAATGAACAAACTGTCAGGCGCACACGGTCGGAACCGACGGGGGTGGCGGCCGCATACACTCCGACGGTCAAGTCAGGTTTGGGTGGTCGGAACAGTGTCCAGGGACTACACAAATCAATCAGTCAATAAAGGGGGAGGAGGATATATAAACTTGTTATGGAGTGCTATCTATTGAGAGTTTCATTACCTTTGTCTCTGGCCAATCTTTGGGTATTTATAGGTGGTATGAACCGTGGGATGTGGAACACGTGTATACATCTGACGGTATGAAGCGTCTGCTCATAGGCGTCAATCAGCCGCGCTTGTAGAGTGGGCGGACAGTTTGTTTCCCCCAAGTTGAATTGACATAAAGTTGATAAGTCACATCAAATAGCTTTATGGGGGACGTCAAATCAATTGAAACCTTATATGCAGAGCAAATCTTAAATTGGCAGCGAATCTTCTAACGGGGGTCCACTTGAACCCGACCTCGGAGACGGGACACTTCGGCAGATCAGTGACAGGAATCGGTGTACCACTTTGGAGAAGCTTCGGGAGGTCGGAGTGGTGAGAGGCTTCGGAAGGTCGGAGTGGTAAGAAGCTTCGGGAGTAAGAAGCTTCGGGAGGTCGGGGTGGTCTATTTGATTTCACCGGCTTCGGAGTGGCAAGATGACACTGCGATACCTCGGTACCGAGGCTCATAAAAATGAGGCGTAACAGTGGTCCCCCAAATCCGAGAATGAATATTTATATTATACGTGGATTTATTTTTCGGACCGGATTGCGGCATGGGGGTAGCTGCAACTTTGTAGAGCATGGGACCAACGCAGAGCCGAGGCGATGAGCCAATGGTACGCTCGCGTCGGGTACGCTAAAGCGTCATAAAAATTATAGGGACCCGTCTTCACCGAAGCGTTGGAAGGGAGAGGGAGACGGCTCAAGCTTTGCAAAGCATGGGAGGGGACGCAGCGACCGAGGCGATAGCAAACGGGGGTTCGCATCGGGTGCGTCCAAGCTTTGTAAAGTTAGGGGAGGAGATCGTCTGAGGTGACCCGGAAGTCCAATGATTTGACAACTGTTGCGTGTTTCCAAGGTGACAGTTGGGTACCACGCCCATTCCCCTAGAAGGCTGCTGCGGCCAGTAATTATTATTGACGACTGTTGGTAACCGAGGCGACGCGTTTCAATTTAGCGTGAAAGCCACAGCGACATCTTGGGCGTAGATCAAATCTGCCGTTTCATTTCAACGGCTGGGATCGAGAATACAACGAACGGTTTAGATTGATCGTATTTGAATTGAAGGATGGAGGTTGGATTTGTCTTTCCTATAAAAGGTGAACTTTGGGGGCTTATCAGAGTTTCTACCTTTGCCATACGAAAGAAACAAAATTTTCTCCCAAATTTCCGGCGATTTCCAGCGTTCTACAAACAACTCCGGCGAGAGAGAGAGCGATATTTTCGGCGACCTTGCACAATTTTCGGCTAGGAAACACTTCCAAACCCGTAAGTTTCAGTACCCATTTAGACTAAAAATTTCTTAACGAATGGCCTCGGAAGGGAGTTCTGGTTTGGGTAGGAGTTTAGAAATAGTGAGGGTGGACGAGCCCATTGTGGCGACCTCCTCAGAAATAGCCGGGGCCATAATGGGGGGGGGGAAAACATGTGGAAGCGACCAGATAGCCCTCCGGATACTTCTGTGCACTGGGGGGCGTCGGACTACCCATCAAAGTTGAGGGAGGCCGACCTTGGTAGACTTAGGATAGAATATAGGATCCCGGACAGTGTGGACCTGATTCTCCCAGGGCCGGAAGAGAGAGCTTGTTACCCAAGGCCGGGCTGCGTGGCCATTAGTGAGGCGATCCTTAGGGCCGGACTTAGGCTACCTATTCACCCGTTCTTTAGGTTGGTGCTTAGGTCCTACGGGCTAGCCCCGACGCAGCTCAATCCGAACTCCTGGAGCCAAATGGTGGACTCCTGGATGTTGTGGAAAGAGGCGTCGTTAGGAGTGGAGATGCCCCTTTCCGTTTTCCAGACTCTCTACATACCCAAGGTTACTGCTGGGGGGGATAAGACCCGGGGTTGGTACTACCAGACTTCATGGGGTTCCCACACTCCATTTGTGATCGATCTGCCGAGCTCCATCAAGGAATGGAAGAGCTCTTGGTGCTGGGCAGCGGGGCGATGGGACACAATGGAGGGGGACCCCCTGGCGCCTCTTACGGTCCCGGCGAAGTTTTCAACACTTAGTGAGTATAGTAGTTGATATTTTGTTTCTCTTCGGCCGGGCTTGTGTTTAACAGAAATGTTTCCTTTCGCAGGTTCCCTCCCTCGGTGCGAGCTATCGACAGAGGACTTCGACACTATCTGTATTATTTATCAGCTGCCTCAAAAGAAGAGGTCATATCACAGGCTGATTCGGAAAAACATACATTTCATCACTCATGACTTAATGGCGTCCCAAGGTAATAGGACCGGAGCCCACACTTTTTTTAAACCGAACTCCCTATACTTGTATTAATTTCTCATTCGTTTTTTGTAGATAACTTCAACAAGAAGCTGCCAGTACGCCCCGACTTCAAAACCATTCAGAAAATGATGGCTGAAGCAAGGGCGTTGAAGGCCTCCTCCTCTTCGTATAAGAAGCAAATGGAGGAGCTGGTGGAGGCCAGTAAGAGACTTCAGCCTCCGACGGAGAAGGAGGTTCAGGAGGATCCGGAGGCCGACCTCCGAAGGAAGGGCAAGAAAAGTACTGCTCCTCCCAGACGCCCAACTGTGGCGAGGCCACCCCCAGTTATGCGGCAGACAACTATTCCCATGGGGGTGGCCCTCCTAGAAAGAAACCCCACTGCTACGGAGCCTGTCGCTACCCCGGACACGTCGCCCCTTACGGCCGTACCTATTGAACACGTTCCGGGGCAGCAGAGGAGGAAAAGGGCCCGCTCCAGCAAAGAAGTTGACTTCCTCGGCACCAGTTCAGAAGAGCCAGTAAGGGAGGTGCTGGAGGCTCTCCCCCCGGAAACAGCTGCAGTGGCGGTAGTCCACAGCAAGTATTGGACCGAAGAGTGGAGGGACCACACCGCCTCCTGCACGGCCGAAGACTTGGTGGCGGCGAACAGCGCCTGCGTGGCCCGGGCACTGAGCACAAGTATCCAACTCGAGGGCTTGGTGAAGGA